TTTACTATAGCAGATAAGCTCAAAAGCTCCAGCTTCAAGGATTATCTAGAGTCGATAAAGCAGCTCACGAGCTACAACTATTACTTTCGTTATAGCATAGTCCCAAAATCTTGAATAAAAATAACAAGTATTTATTTTTTTTAATAAGGAAAAGTATATAATGTCTTTTTTATTATAGTTTAATGTTTTTTGTGAGTCTCGCAGATAGTTGAATGACTTCATATACATATGTTATCTAATGACAACAAACCGGATTTGATTGAAATGGGCTTTTAAATCGAATTAAAAATTGAAGTTTGAGTGAATTTTATTTCCTCCTCAAAATGAATATTTTCCACCTTTATGCCACTTGTAAAGTTGTAAAACTGATTATAAACATATCGTATAAATGTATTGATTTTTGTTTTGGAATATTCAAGACTCACAAGTGACGCGACTAAATAACAAATATTTACACCGAGCTTCCAACTTGAAGTAAGTATAAAAATTCAAACATTTCAGGTTTTCCATTCACTCACAGAACTGAAACATAGTAATTTTAAAAATGTTTAAATTACTCTTTTTCCTTTTACTTGTCTGGACTGTGGCAATGGTAAGATTGTAACTAGCTGTAATACGTCAATTCCATCATTTTATCATATTTTAACTTTTCTTATTTATAGCTACACTATGCAGAAAAATTATCGCAAAAATTTTTTTATTAAAATTTCTTTGATCATCAACATCTTCTATCTTTATCGAACGTGTCGGAATGATTTTTATTAGTTTTCTTGAAATTGTTTCTATTTTAAGGCCACATATATTTTTTACAGGTTTGAGTCAATGCTGAATATGCCAATCGTCAATTAACAGTGTGCATTTCATTTGGATAAACAAATGATTGTAGTCTAGGTACATGTTTAAACGATCAATTTCTTTTAGTAATCGAAAGACTCAGTAAAGATTAGACATTCGCCATTGACTCAAACCTATTCAAAATATATATACAGACGAACCCCAGTATTCGCGATTAATGCGTTCCATAAAAGTACCGCGAATACGAAAACGCAAATACTGGGGCATTAAGTATATGGGAAGTAGGGGGTTCGGTTCCAGGGTTCGAAATAATGAGGAAAATCGGATAAAAATAAGAATTTTTATTGTCATTTTGAGTTAAAATAGTCGGCCAAACATGATTGTTTGAATCTTACCTTGAACTAAAAAAAATTTCCAAGAAAATTTCCAAAAAATGGAAGCATTTGAAGATGAACGATATTTCAATACTAATTTTTGTTGCGATAGTTTTTGTGGCGGAGTGTATTATGGTTATAAAAGGGAAATAAAATCTAATTTTTTATAGAGTAATCCAGTCGAAGATAAAATTGATGATAAATCACAAAGTTATTTAGTAAAAGAAGTGAGTAAAATCATCATTATTATAAGTGTCTTTGTTTTCTTTTAAAGACATTATTTCATTTGCATATTGTTATTATAGATTCTGGCAGAAATTGAGGAACAGTTCAAAGGAATACTAGATGGTGTCAATAAATTCTTTAATTAAATCATTTGAATTTAATTAAAAAGAGCTAGCATGTACTTATCTTTGTAATAAATGAAAATAAACGTATAATTTCGACAACTACATTTAATTAGTTTTATAAAGAACTTCTATTCCAATGATATACACGATTTTAAAATTTCTAGAAATATTAATTCAAGTTATTAGTGAATTTATTTACAGTAGATTCTATCTAATAGTACTTTATGCAACGGGTTTGGATATACTTTTTCTGCAAAACGAGGGGTTGCGGCATAAGTCGAGTCTGTAACGAGTATAGCTGAAAGAGTTTATTCACACAAGTTGCATACAATATATTATAACACAAGTGCCTAAAACTAGTGGAAAAATTAAAATTTTTAGATTAGAGTGTTATAAAACTTTTTATTATGTCAAAAATTACTTCCTAAAAATGGTACAAAAATTCAAATTCCAAGTCGATCTAAATCAGAATTGAGCGTAAGTGCTTACATGGCACTCGTTGGCATTTGAAATTTTGGAACCCGTTTTATGTAAAATAATTAATGACTTGATGAAGAAATCCGCAAAGTTTAAGTGTAAATAAGTTTTTACTAATATTTTTTTTTGTTGAAATGTTGGAGGTAGTTACTTCAGAATAAAAATCTCCGTGTGCAGCTTAACAATCATTGTTATTCCGTTGTCTACTATGGACTGAAGTTGCAAAAAAAACAAATATATACATGATTTTTTCCATGTTTTCTTATGGTCACTCAATGAAAAATGCATGTTTTCCTCAATTAAAACCATCGGAAAGCAGAAGAAAAATATATTGGAATCGCGTATTAGTTGCTTAATTTTGTGGATTAGATGCGTTAATAAAGCTAGTAGAGTCAGCGTCCACCGAGTACTCCAACGTGACACTAAAAACGGCGTTTTCCTGTTTTTATAACTGGTAAAAATCGAAAATATCCATTATTCTTGAGTTCATCGTCACAGTAATATCTCGAGATCTTTTGATCCATCGATTCGAACAGTTGATTGAAGTTGAAATGTTGAAGTTACAAAGTGTATTACACTGATTTATAAACGATATACAGATTTGGTACTTGAATTTTCCACAATTCTCACCAATTTTCAGACCTTTTTTATAATAGCATATTACACAACAAGGGATTAAAAGTAAAGCATATGCCTACCCGTTGCATAATATACTAATATTTTATCTGAAAAAACAAAAACAGGTTTTTTAAGAAAAGGTCGAAAAATTAAAAACAGTTGGTTGTATGAGCTAAATATGTTAAATAAAACTAAATTATATATAAAGTCTTAACACTTTTGCAAAAAGGGTGAATCCTTGCAAACTAAATTCAAATGTCAAATATTTGATGAGCTCATCACTATTCACGTTGCCATGGCAAAATATATTTTTTTCATATAAATATGTTGTTTAAAGAAATTATTATTACGGTTCCAATGTCGTGAATGTAATTTTTGAACGATAATTGATTATAATTTACATTCAAAGTTTAGTTAATAAGCTTGAAATCCTACCTATTAGTGATTGAGAAAATAATTTTAATTAAAAAGAAAGTTTCATGTACTCTCTCGTAAGGGTGGATTATTTCGTTAAATTCATTTAATAGAAATAGGATATACGTGGCTTAAAGGTATCATATCAATATGAAAAGGATTTAAATCTATCTAAAGTAAAGCTACAAAATTTATCTGATTGAATTAATCGTTCCTGTAGTTTTAGACTTGTAAACTTTCAATCGGTGTAAAAAGTAATTTAACTATATTAAGTTTAATACTTATTTTGAAGAAAGTTATAATAACGATAAAGTTTTCGTCAGCTCACAGTTTTAGCAGAACCATACGACAGGCTGTTGCTTCTTTATTCAAACTAATAAAATGATTGTTATACATAAGTAATTTTCTTGTACCTAACGTTTATTACTCCACTTTTATAGAATAGGATTTCTACTTTGTTGTTTACGGACAAAATTACTCAGTTAAACTTAGTCCAAAGGACTTGAAATGAGAGAACTACGTAAGAAATACCTTCATAAACTTTTATCTTCTGCAGAATTATTCAAAGCGGTAGTTGTAAGAATTTGGAAATCATGAGTGGAGTATTCAAAGATATTAAACAAAATGAATGTAGTACTCTGTTTCTTTATTATACTGACGTCATATTTGACTATTTTTACATTAGATACAAATGACAATGTCAATGTACTACCTTTTCCTTTTGTTTTGCAAACTCTTGAAATTAATCATTAGGGCTCTTTCGTCTTTAGTTGGTTCTTGTATCTATAGTCTTTTTAAAATTGTAGAGGTAGTCTTTTTTTAATCCAATTTTGGAGCCAAGTTTTGCTATGGCTGTGCTTGAACAGTGATTTTTCAAACTATTTGTATCGTTCAATTTTTACCAGTTGAATATTTTAAATAATTTATAGAACTAATGCATTGCCTTAAGGTTAGTATTTCGCTTTATAAAATAGGTAAATAAAACTTATGTACTTGAGTTAAAGTGACAAATCTAATCAATTTTTTATTATAAAAAATATTTACCAACTTTTTAAAAGAATTCCACATAATTTTATTATTTTGAATCAGAAAAAGATTCTACTGAGAAAAAATTGAAAAAGCAAAATAACTTTTTCGATTTTTAAAGCATTATCTTTATAGAAAATGAAATTGTTTTTTCACGCAATGAATTTGGTCAAATCAATTTATGCTAAAACATAAAATTTTAGTATGTATTAAGATTGAAAAAACATTTGTATTGAAAGATAGCAAAGCCAGCCCAAAAATAAAATCCCTTTATTCAAAACTTCTACTATATATTTCTGCGAGAGGTTCGTACTGGGCATTTATTTATTTTTTCATGCATAAACAAAAATCAATATTTGAAAATTTTGATACTAAACTTGCAAGCAGGAGAAATTGAAAAGTTTCGTTAGAATTGCGTAATTGTAAAAAATTAACTTTGAATCGTAAATATTAATTTATTTATTTGATATGAATTTATCATAAAAGTTTTATAATTATACCTCTACATTTTATTGTTAATTATAAAAATACAAAACAACAAATTAAATTTATACTGTGTAAATATACATTGTCTACTTTTAAATGTCAATCACTTAACTAAAAATAATAAGATAAAATTCTAGTTGAGTTCATTAACATTAATGGATATTTCTAGCAATTTTCTGATAGAAGTTCAATGAACTTAAGAAAAGTTGAAAAAAATTTAAATCGCAATCTTGATAACTCAGTTCAGGCTTAATTGTTTCAGTAACGTATATATTAGTTCGTAACTACTCAATGTTTGCAATTTCCTTAATTGTTACGTACCAGCAGTTGATACGATGTGGAAATTAATATTTTTTGTAATTTTTGGTCTTTTTTCAAAGAGTTCTACAGGTAAAATTAATTATTCAATTAATACGATTCTAAAAACTTTGATTTAATATAGCCATTTTAACTAGACAAAATGGCAATAAAAAATGGAACTGAAGTAGTTGAAGGACAGTACCCATATCAGGCTTCTTTGCAGTACGTTGGCGGACGACACTTTTGTGGAGCATCTATAATTAATCGAAGATATTTATTAACTGCGGCGCATTGTGTTGCTTTTAGAGATTTAAATCATCTTTCTCCGAGGTATTATAAGCATTCTTTTTGGTGTTATTGATTCTTATTATTTTAAATTAGTTTGAAGGATGTAAAGATATTGAAAGCAGTTGTCGGCATGAATAAACTCGATGACAAAAATGCAGTCACATATGAAATAGAGAAAATAATCAAGCATGAACTTTTTATGGAAAATGTGAGTAAGAAGTATGTGTCGAAGCTCTTTTAGAAGAGTACCGCGTTATTTCCTTTTTAACGTGAACGTGTTACTCTTCATACAGAGTTTCGATGAATTAGATTGAATGGATTATAAATTTTAAGTTTTGAATCAGATAAATTTTAATTCTGTATGATACATGCAAACCCCTGCAATACAGCTCAGATGCATACATTTCAATTTCAGATATATGAACCTAAATTTGCTGACATTGCATTAGTTCGAGTCTCAAAAGATATAAAATTCAACGATAAAGTACAACCAATCCAATTAGCCTCTTCAGAAAACATCGAAGATTATCCTTTTGCAGGTATATCTGTCACAATTACTGGTTGGGGAAATACGCACTTGTGTATGGTAAGTATTAAAAATCGTTTAAAAAAAAAATTATATTTCTCTTATTTTCCCAAATATTTTCTTTCAATAAAAATTTTTTAGAGTGATTTTGAAGAAAACACAAATTCACTATTTGTGGCTCATCAAACAATTTATGATTTTGAAAAATGTGAAGAGGACTATACAGTTTATCATAAATCAAAGCATTCAAAGTTATCTCATGTATCATTGGTTAATCGTGGCATGATGTGCACTGTTGGCCATGAATATACTTGCAAGGTAAATATTTTTTATTAATAAACGTACTGTTTACATAATAAGTAATTATTGAGTACAAGTGTTCTGGGATTTGAAAATTAAGGGTACAGGGCACTAGGTATTAATCATTTTATGTAACAATATACGCAAAATTCCTCTTTACCTCGTAATAAAAGGTTACTGCGTAAAATAAATTAAAAATATTTATAGGGTGATTCTGGAGGTCCTGTAGTCACTGGAAGAGGAATACAAGTGGGTATTGTTAGTTTTGGGATGAAATCTCTACCAGAAGTTTCAACAAATGTATGGCCATGGTATGAATGGATTATTGAAAATTCTAATATCACCAATAATAACCTTTATCCATAGGATTTTCACGTAAAAAAAATAAATAAATTTCGTAAATTCAGAAAAAGAAAATAATTGAGCTTAAAAATGATTACTGTGTACATCTAGCTAAATTGTGTCAGACTCAAATTAAAAGTAACTGATTCCATTATGTTTCGTGTTAAATTATAAAGATAACTATTTTAAATTTCATCTTATATTTAAAAAAACGTAACTCGCTACGCTCGGGATGCAAACTGACACTCTTGCAAGATAGACAACCCCTCGCCTCAGTTGTGTAATGTACACTATTATAGCATTGCGTGTCTTAAGTTCATATTTATGGCACGCTTTTCGGCGGCATAAGTTGCACTTTACGGCACTGCATCGTTCGCATCACACTCGCTGCACTCGTTCGCTAACCTCACTTCGCGCTGTCAGAAAGTGCGACTCATGACTTGGAAAAGGGGGCATAAATGTGAACTTAGATCAGTGCTATAAAATTGAGTAAGATACTCGGGCCGTAGGGGGCACTTTCCAACACGACTATTAGGGCCCGAGCGTAGCGAGCCTTTAACTACGCCGTGCCGTAAAGTTTCACTTATAGCACTTGTATCGTAAAATTATTCATACTTCTTTGCCATTTCTATTTTCAATAACTTCGATTATCAGATATCATATTAATTCTGATCAATATGAATTAATAAAATTTGCAATAAGCATTTTGAAAAATCATGCACCAATCTCTATGCATAAATTTACCAGTTTTTCCTACAATATCATGTCGACAGAGTTTTCTTGGTTATGCGAAAATTCGAAAATTCTAAAATAATTAATTCCACTGACAAGTTTTTCTTTTGTAGAAAAAAAGAATAAAATTATAACGTAAAATTTATTGATTGTTTTCTTTTTGCTGGTTTTCATTGTTCGAATTCTAAGAATAAATCTTTACATTAAGATTATTTTTTGTATTTTGGCACATTTTGAGCGAAAATTGGTAATCTCTTCCGTTCAGAGGTATTTGGCGAAAGTTTTTTTTTTAAATTGAGTCTGAGATAAATTCGAGCAGTTGCATAGAGTATTGTCGTGTACGAGCCGCGAAAATCGATGTGCTTCGAGATTATTGATTAAAGATGAAATTATATCAGGAGCACCTTAACAAGCCCGCTTTTTAATCCGCATTCGGCTGGGAGTTCAGTTGTAGAACTTATTGAATCCTCACGCTTTACAACTCGATAGAAAGATACTTGAAATAATTGCTAGGCAGGGTCAGTCTGAGCAGGATGGCTTGAAAACCACTATGATTTATGTTGACCAATGAAGGTTCAGTATTACAATAGTACTGGTCTGCTCTTTATGGGAATAATCAGATGGAGCATCTACGGTTTTAGAAGTAAATGAGGCAAACCCCGTTATCCGCGATTCTTTGTATCCGCGTTACCGTCGTTTGTGACCCAACTTCAGTATCCGCGTTTTTTTTCTGGAGTTTAACATTTTCTGGGCGTCAAATTAAAAAATTTTTTTATTAATTTTATTTTAAGTATGATTTGACCAACGTCAAAAAAACCAGTTTCAAACGAAAAAAAACGAAAAGTCCTTAATTTGGTCGAAAAAATCAAAATTCTCGATGAATTGGCAGCTGGTGAAAAAATTGCTACCCTCGCAAGAAGATTCGACGTCAACGAGTCTTCGATCAGAATATGGTACCGATGAATTCAGAAACTGACGAAATGGTTATAGACGATGAAGAATCAGAACCTTTACTTACGGCTAAAATTATTGGAAAAATTTTAGCAGATACAGAACAACTCATTGAACGAGCCATAAATCATGATCCAATTATGACTCGCGCAGCCTTCATTTCAAGCAAGATATAACAAAATCATTGCAGTGTTATGAAAATTTATACAAAGATTTGATGCGCAAAGCGAAGCAAAAAAGTTTGACTGAGTATTTTACTCAAAAATGAATTAATACTTTGATTTTTCCAAAAAAAAGTTGTTTTACTCTTTCGTACATAGACATTAGAGCTGGACGAGGAACCGAACCCCCCTTTTTCCATAAGAACAATGCTTCGGTATCCGCGGTACTTTTTCGGAACCGAACCCCCGCGAATAACGGGGTTTGACTGTAGTTATTACACGCTTACACGTGTACGCACGCTCATGGAATAATATACGTGATTATATGTACATCTATAGTAACGTAAAGTATGTGTGCGTCTACTTGAAGGCAATTTACAATTTTTTGGGCTGTGTGACGTACCACATGAAAAAAAGAAAAATCTATCAAAGAAGGTTGTCATTTCTTCGGATTTACATGCTAAATAACATATGTAAGGCACAGATAAAGAGAGAGAGACCATTGTGAGAAATTAAGCTCTCTGTGATTACATACGTATGCATCCGATTCTAGCGCTGCAGCACTCGCCAATCGGAGCGAATCGTATTTCACGGCTCTGTACTATAGGGCTTCTCGTTGCATTGAATGATGTATATATCACCAGCGAGATAACGAGAGAGAAAGAAAGAGAGAGAGAGAGAGAGAGAGTGAAAGCGTGAGCTAAGATTTAAGGATAAATTTCGCATTCTCATTAAGATTTCTAAACGACTTCTGAGGCAAAGAGAAAGAGTTTGAGTTTTTTATGCCCAGGTACATGAATGAAATTATGATTCCAATCTGATGTACTTTCAAATGGAAATTTCTCTCTCTCTCTCTCTCTCTCGCGTACTCGAGGACCCTTGCCTTAAATGTACAAAACTCACGCGCCAGCAGCGAAATAGTCATGAGTTCAATTTACTCGCAACGGCTCCCATGATATTACTATTATGGCTTGTGAAAAAAAACTCGTAAAAAGCTAGTCAATGAATGATTCTTTTTTTAACAAAGCGACAAAAAAGTGTACAATTTTTGTGTTCATAATTTTTTTTTGAACGCATTAATATTAGCAATATTAAATAGAAAATGTTATTAATATATGGAAACAACATTTTTTCTGTGTTACAACAAAAGCAGAGCTGTTTTTTAATTTTTTATTTATTCAATTACTTTAAAAATTTATTCGCGAGAAGTTTCGACCAAAAAGATTCTATCAAAACTTCTACATCGTTTTCTTCTCTCCTGTTGTTGACGTATAATCGATTCTTATGTATAAATGGTATTTATCCAGTGCTTTATTTTTATAAGGTGAGCTGCGGCATTTTATAATTTATAAATTCAATCATAAATCAACCCTGTCAACGAAAAGTAGCACTTTTACACTGTAAAATGTATGGAAACCATAACATTTCGGTAATATTATTCGACAGTAGTTATAAGTGAATTTTGCGAATTAATTTCTTACGTCTGGAACGTATTAAAATTAGAATATGAGAATTAAAAAATTAGAATTAGAATATTAGAATATGAGCTGTTATCGAAATTCGGCCGAAATAAGTCAGAGGCCAGAATAGCGGATAGGTTGCAGTATGCGTACAAGCGTAAAGCACAAAATGCACTTTAACCACTAAAAGCTCGGTAGTTTAGTAATCATCTTTAATAATATAAGCATCGGTGTAGTGGTTTCATAAAATTTAAAATTCTTGCTTAAGTCACATAATTTTTTTGATATTTTATTGATTTACATTTTGTGAAATTCATAAGCTTAAGAAATACAGAAGTTGATATGTAAAATTATAAAAATAATAAAAATTTTATGGCTTTCGTATCGCTTGAATTGTAGTTGGGTGAAAAAAAGCATATAAGTTTTGAAAAGAGAACTTTTGATCTCAGCATTTCATTTTATCGACAAAAGTATTCTATGGGTGCGAATTCATTTTTGTTTTTTTATTGTTATGAATTTCTGTTATAGCAACTTGACACTGCCATTGATTTCAATCAGTATGAATATCTAATAATAAATGCGTCCGTAAAACGAAAACTGTTACAATTAAGAAAAGTGGTTTCCTAGAATACTTTAAATAGTTTACTGAAGTTTTCTGAGAATAATTGAAAATTGTTCAACTATTCTTGTGTTTTTGGTAGAAATTTTTTTTAATAATATAACTCACGAGTCGTATGATGGACGTGTTAAATTTTTTTTTTTGGTCCTTTTCAGTTGGAAGTTGTTTGAGGTTTTATGGTTCAGTTCTCGAACAGTATTTTTATGATTTAAATTTTGGCGAATAACGTGAAATAAAAAAAATTGTATGCTTAACTATACATGTAAAGCACTCTACGCGTGCGATCACTACTAAAGTGCTTGTGTTTGTAAGCATTGATGTTCGGGAGAAGTGTAAGCGACTCTGGTGCTGAAGCTCAATCGGTACCCTCTGAAAGTTACGACAAATGACCAAAAACAGAACTCACCAAAAAACGTAAAAGAAAAAAATTTTAAATGTAAAGTATACGAAAAAGGCTTACGGAAACAGCTGTATCTCAACGAAAAATAAAAATTTTGGCGTTTTAAAAAATGCAAAGAAAAGGGGACGAAAATCTCTTCTAAAAAATTTAATAAAAAAATTTGATGCGGCGGTGCCTATAAATCCTTAAGGCTATCGGTTTGGATCTATTTATTCAGCTGAGCGTAGTGAAGTCCTTCTATTGTTAAAACAATTCTTTACCACTAGTAAATTAATTTGACAATGATATATGGGTTTATGAAAAAAGAAATACTGCTCTCACACTTCTCTCAAATTCCAAGTCTTAAAGATTGTAATCACTGGTTAGTTTTAGCACACCCTAAAGCAGTAACTAATGTATTTTTCGTTTCCTTTCGTTTAGTTATTTAGAGAAGCTGAAAAAATTCTAATTTTATCCGCAGCACACGAAAAAGCTTTGTAGAAAAGGACTTGCTTATGTCTGACCAAAAAGCTGGTACTCTACTAATTTTTATTACGTAGTGAAAAAATAAATTTGAAATTTACAAAGAAAACTTAAAGTTGTTTAGTTATTAATTCCAATTTTTTTTTTAAATAATAAGATATACCATTAAATTATGTAGACTTTAATTACAATAGTGAAAACAGTTTTACTATCGTTTTTTTTAACTCGCTGCTTTGTAC